CCATTCCTTTTCAGTTTGTCATTCCTGGCATAGTGAACTATGTGAATATGACCAATGTCAGTCCATTTTAGCTCACTAATGCTTAGGCTATCAATTTTTATGCATTCAATTTCATTTTTGACAATTACCTTAGATTCATACTTTGTACATTCCATGTTCTAATTGTAAATGGATGTTTACTGCTGTTTCTCTTCATTTTGAGTTGTGTCCCATCAGCAAAGGAAGGTCCAGAAGACTTCACTTCATTCGAGTCATCACAGTCAACTCTGCTTTGAGGAGGTAGCTCTTCCTTAGTCGTATTTTGAGTGCCTTCCAACCTGAGGGGCTCATCTTCTGGCATTATACCTGACAATAATTTGGTGTTCCTTGTTCATCATGTTTCAATATTTAAAATTCTGTTGCTGAGAGTGTTCCACTGCTATTCATAATGATTTCAGTGACTAAATATTCGGATGTAATCTGTATCTCCTTGTTAGTCTGTCTTCATCTGGAAGCTCAGCTGAAACCTCTCTATCATGAGTGATCCTGCTGGTATTTAAAGTACCTATGGCATATCATCCAGAGCCACAGCAACACGCAAGCCACCACAGTACGACAAACTAACAGACAAGTGGTGGAAGGAAACAATTAGGTCAAAGAATTAATGGACCATACAAACACGGACTCCATGACCCTCAGATCAACACAACTAATGGTTGTCAGCACTTCTACTGTCTGCTGTGACTGGAATCACAAAAAAAGGTCCTGGACACAGTGTCAAAAAAATGGGGAACAAAAGTCTAAGTCATGAAAAAAATAAGACCATATTTATTGGTCTGAATAGAGACCATGGTTCCTAGACACCTTTCAAACCTGGAACTGAACCTCTGGAAATCACCTTTCAGCCAAACAATAGAAAAGTTTACAATGTGAAGAATAACACCCATTGGGAACATAGTCCTCAGAACAAGACCAAAAAGGCTGCATTTCCACAATAACAAAGTCCAACAGGTAGGGAGAGAAAGGAAAGAAGGACAAATGGAAATGGGAAACCCAGGAGGAAATGGGAAGAGTCATGAACTGAAATGTGTCTAAATTGTTCAGTGGATAACTAACTTATTCTGTAAACTTTCACCCAAACCACAGTAAAAAAAAGAAAAAGAGGAAAATAATTAAACACCTGTATCAAAGAGTTTATGTGTAATTATGAAAATACTGTTGTATTATAATTTAGTTTTAAAATAAATAAATGCATAGCATCAGGAGTATGACTAGTTGTCACCCAAAACCCGTTTTGATGTATTTTCTCTCAAACTATGATGACATTTAACAACCATGTTTATTATCAATTTTCTGTCAATCTTGTATGCATCATGTTGTGTTTTATTTTGCTATTTAACACTGCATTATGCATGCTCTGGTAGCGTAGTGGTTACGAATCGGGCTGCGAACCTTAAGGTCAGCGGTTCGAAACTACCAGCCGCTCCACGGGAGAAAGATGAGGCTTTCTACTCCCGTAAGGATTTACACCCTCGGAAACCCTGTACAGGGTCGCTATGGGTCGGAACCGTCTCGACGGCACTTAACAAAAACAATGCATTTTTGTAAATACCATTTTAGTGGCTACATCATATTCTGTTATGTAACTGTAATACTGTTTACCAAACAAGGTCACTATGAGTTAGAATCGACTCGACGTCACTTAATAATAACATCAACCACTTCTTTATTGTAAGATACTTAGGAT